CCACGGAGGTGTGAAAGGGTCCAGGCAGAGAGCTCTGCAATGTCTGCAGGGATGTCGTGCCCTGGCATTGGTGCTTGGCTGGGGGATCAGCCTTGTCTCATGTGAAAATACAGCAAAGCAAACTCAGACACAATGGGGACTCTGCTGTCCCTCAGGGCTTCCTACTCCTTCCTCTGCCAACACATTTGCTGGGTGAACTCCACACTGCATGAGTCCTTGTAGCTGAGAGAGGCAGACAGAGGCCATCTGAGGGGTCATGGCTTCCCTACAGCCTCCTGGTCCTGAAGCAGACCTGGCCAAGCAGCCCTCCTCCCTGCTTGTCTTCAACAGGCCAGGCACTGAGGCCGGGCGTTGGCACAAACTGGTGATGCTAGTTCACAAAGTGAATATATGGTATCCCAAGAAAATATGTCCCTTTTTCTAAAGATTGTGTGAGGGAGAGCAGCAACTTTAACATTACTTATTTTGCAGGCTGATTTTCGCCCCTTGCTGTGGCATGCTGCCTGCTCACCGAGCACGCTTTGTTCACTGCTCAGCTGCTTTAAGGTCCTACTCACCAGCTAGGCTTTGGAGAGATTAATAATGTCTCTTTTTTTTCCCCATACAATGTCCTTGACAAGCCAGAAATCCGCCCATTTGCTGTTTCAAGCAATTAAAATGATGACACTGCCATCAACCCCCACGCAACCGGTTGGCGAAAGCACTGTGCGACGGAAACTCCAGTGAATTCGTATGTAACTTGGCAGAGACCAGCCCCGCTGACTTCCCAGGCTTTGTTGCTCAAATACAAACATGTAAAACCAGTGTTAGGCTCTGAGAGCTGTGCCAAAGTCGACTGCCGCTGCGTACAATAAAACAGCATGTGGAGGGTTGCTGTTCTAATTGGGCAGCCAGGAACCCCGGCGGATGGCAGGGCTTATTTATTGATTGCTCTTCAGATCAGGAACTGGACGGCACCACAGGGAGCTAGTAAAGGAGGAAAAGTGTTTTAAATACATTGTAAATGCTCCTTTGCAGGATTAATGAGCGGGAAACTGTAACGTGTTAACAGGATGCACAGAAAAGTAAAAGCTGGTAAACCTGTGTGGCTTTGCCTTGCACAGGAGAATTCTGCTTCAGTGGAGGTGGAGAAATACGGGTGGTGTAATGTTACTGTACTTGAGGGCCCTTGCAGTTGAAGAGAATCTATTCTTTTACTGAACTTCTCGCAGAATTGGAAACTATTAGAAAATACAATGGGAAAATAAATGTATGAATGGAAGGGGAAGCATAAGAGAAAGTGGAAAACTCTGCTCTTGTCTCCTTATTCCCTCAGGGCTAGCGTGCAAATGGCACAAAATGGGTGTTATGCTCTATCTCCTGTGGAACAATAAGAGCTGAAGGTGTCCAGTGGGGCCCATGCTGGGGCAGAGTGGGCTGTCATGCCATTTATCTCTTTGCTGAGAGTTTGGATCTTCACCCAAGGGCTTTGCACAGCTCCACTGTACATTCAAAATGCTGAGGTGGGGGGGAGTGAGACACTGATGCACAGATGTGCAGTGCAAGTATTAAAGCCTGTGCTGTCATTTTAGGAGCGTGTGCTGTTCCCACAGTTTGCCAAAGTCTTGTAATTATCTGAACACCTGCAGCTTGCCTGCAATTCAGTCCTTCGTGCTCTTTTTCCTGCTGGATCAGCTCATTTCTAGCTGCCTGTCGTATGGGAGACACTCTCTTCAGTGCTGCAGTTATTGATAATGGAACAGTTTCTGCACGTTGGCAGAAGTGGAGGTGCAATTGCTTCCTTGTGGTCATGGCTGAAGGAGGCAAATGGCAGGCCCAGCCTGGGAATAGCACAAGTTTTGAGGAATTTGACAAAGTCTGATGTCTTGGCATTGATCTGATTAGTTGTAGGACTGCTTATAAGTGAAGCATAAAGAAAATTAAGTAAACCAGAGAGAAGTGCGAATTTATCTGTATAAAGGGCTAACTTCTGCGTGAGAAATGAATGTGTCTATGAATCTCATGTTGTTTTAAAGTGCTTTCCCTTCCTTTTTGTCCACCTGTCACATCCAGTTTGAAACGCGAGCAGCTTGCCACGTGAGATGTTTTGGGCTTAGAAATCTCGAGCTGTGGTGGAAAGGGGCCTGGATAGACTCTGGTGGATCTAGATCTGATCCTGCACTGATGGACTACCACCAAGACCAATGGGTCAGGCATTCAGCCTTCTGCAGCTTCAGACTTCTGCTGTTCTTTGACGTGTAAGCTGGGGTTGGCAGTGTCCTCTGGGAGAGCTGTTGGATGCACAAACATGCCTGCCTGTGGGTATCTCCCGGGCTATCCACCCAGGAGGCAGCTGCCCAAAAACCACTACATGCTCAGAGATGTGCTTACAGGGCATCTTGGCAGGCTTGAATAGAATGGGCTGGGATGTCTCCACAGGGCTTGAATACTTCAGTGTTGATGTGAGTGCTTCATTGCTGGAGCTCTCTGTTCAGTGCTGCTTAAGAGATCTCCACTTGTACTTAGACCACTGAGGGCTTTTTCAAATGAGAGGGCTCTTGTTTTTATCCAGTCCTTCTCTGTGCGGAGAGAGGGATTTCTTAAGCACACAGAGGTTTGTGTTGCAAGTACTCATTATCCACCACAGTTTGTTACAAATGAATCATAAAGTAAACTTAATGAAACAAAGCACACAAAAGTAGATTGATATTTGACTTGGCTGGGCTTGATGTTTTCTCTTCTATATTTTTTGTCAGTTTGGCAAATACTCTAGGATTTTATCCAGCTTTGTTCCCTCCATGTCATCCCTGTAGAGGTTTTCACAGATGACTGCAAATGAAGGATGAACCGTATGAAATGTGTGACAGACAACAGAGAGGTAAAAGCAGAGGAAAGGTATTAGGGTGTATTTTTATTTTGGTCAAAGTCTGTTTAACCTCTATGAAACATCCTGGTGAAGTTTTCTCTCTAAAGTTGTGTATCGTATTTTCGGGTATCTCCTCTCCAAACTGTCAGTTACAGGTATGCATTTTGCAAGGATTAATGTGTTTGTGGACAGTCACTGCTTCTGACGCTAACTTCATGGGTTAGGTGGAAAAGTCAAGTAAAGCTTGTAGTAATAGCTATGGAAAAAGTGCATCTTATGATATTTAGCTGGGTCCCAGGGCCACTTTCAACTTGTTGTTTTAGGTTCATCATCAAGAAGATGGTAGCTGTTGAGAGAAGAGAGCTAGTCTAAGGAGGATTTAAGGATATAAGACATATCTTATTTTCATTTTTTTCTTCACATGTCATTAAGGAATTCAAATACTTTGTGTAGTGAAAATGGGGCGTGATGGATAGTGGTGAGCAACATCCCTCTTACAGGGCACACCAGGAGCTGAGAGCCCTTGTGCCTCCCAGTGCAGCCAGGCTTCCCTCTTCCTTTCTGAGAGGAAAGGGGAAGGAGGGATCTTACTGGGTGGAGAAAAGCAGAAATAAAAGCTATTAGGAAGAGGAATGGAGGATTATTTTCAGGTCATGTCTGCACTAGCCAACAGTTTTGTTTCCTCTTAAAAGCCAAAAGCTCACTGGAGGCAGTCTTCTGGCAGCAGGAAGGGAGCTTTGGTGAGGCTTTCTCTCCAGTTCTCTATCAAAGCAAATCTATTCAGAGCATATCTCACTCCATGGGAAAGGGAACAAGTAAATAAATCCAACCCAGCTCATCTATGGGTTGTTTTCAATACCTTTTAGCAGCAACCTACACATCTAGAACATCACTGCTTCCCTGCTGAGTGCAGAAGTGCTGACTGCCTGGTGCAGACACAGCTCTGCTTTGTGTCCATCTATCCTCGGGGGTTGTGGAATGGCTTGAAATAATGTAGAAGTTCAGTTCTGCAGGGGTGCTGGGGGCTGTGTGCTTGCTTGAAGCTTTGGGAGGGCTTAGCCCCAATCTTGAGCGCTATGCACCTCAGAAAACAATATTTGAAGTCCAAACATATCACCCTTGAAATGTACAGAAAAGCCAGCATTGATTTCAGAGGATGACTGTGATTATATTTGATGCTGGTTTGGGTACATCCAGTCCAAATGTCAAAGGCTGGCTCCACTGTCTCCTAGATGGCTGTTTTGCAGGCAGAGCATTAGTTTGGTGAAACCAAACCTTTAGGACCAAATCCTCAACAGGCTGAAGCAGATGCAGTTGTTAGTGCTTTTGGAAAGCCAGGCCATTAATTATGAATGAAGCATGTGTACTTGCTTACTTGCAGGGGACATGGAGCATAAGGGTGTCTGCCTTTGTACAAGATGTGCAGGCACACAGTGAAATACAGCAGTAGTTAAATGTTAATGCTCATGATCAGATTTTGGCTGTCTTCCTGCATGACTGTTTGCAGATGTTGGGTTTTGTGTGCTGGTTTTATTTTTTGTGGGCTTTTTTTGTGTGTGTATGTGTGCATTTGTTTGGTTTTTGGTTTGGTTTGATTTTTAAAGTCTTGAAGAACAATGATACTGAGAGCTCTCACTGTGACATTTGAAAGCTCTCCAGATCAGAAAGGAGGGGGAATCATTCAGAAACAAGCCAAATAAAACTCTGTCACCAATTAAAAACTAGAAAACTGATATTTGGAGTGGTCTCTTGCATCAGTGGACACCTTCCAGTTCATGCATTTGAGATCACTTTTAGTGGCTGGTGGCTCAGACCAAAGTGTTTCCTCAGTGCATTCCCACAGGTGAGCTGGATGTGGCCGCTGAGCAGCCAGTATGTGGAAACCACAGCCCAGCAGGTGTGGAGATACTGCATAGCCCTCTGGGGAAGAGCAGGGCTGGGACACAGAGTGGACATGCTCAGCCTCCATCCGTCTGTGTACAGATGGTTTTCTTCTGCTCTGCTCATTTCTGAGCAGCAAATTGGCAGAAAGCAGGGTCTGAACACACTGCTGGGCTGCCCTGTGAGGCTCTGGGGACATTTGATGAGATGTGTTGTTTTTTCCAAATTTTTCTCACTTCTGTGTTTTTTCTTCCCCCTTTGTATTTGTATCTAGTGACTGCTATCGCTGGCTGTGAAAGAACTCCTGTTCTGGGCTCAGTATATAGAAGCAAACCCCAACAGCACACAGAGGCAACATTCCTGTATGACACCCCCATCATCAAGCCCAGATGCTCTGGTGGAGTGCAGATGTCCCACAGAGGTCCAATCTAATGCACTGAAGTGACAGAGAATCTGCTGCATCCTCAGGTAAATTGTTCCAGTGCTTAGTTAATTGCCTTAACTGTTCTGCACCAAGAACGATTTTATGTCTCTGTAGAAATGCCTTTAGTTTCCAGCCACTGGATCTCAAGATGCCTTTGTGTCAGATTAAAGAGCCTCATCCTATTACTCCTGTCTCTAGTTGGGCACTTGTTGACCACTTTCAAGTCACCTCTTCACCTTCCTGGGGACAGACCAAATGGACTGAATGTCTCTGGCTCCCCACTATTTATCAGCCTCCTCCCATTCTTCTTGCTTCTGCTGGCTGAATCATCTTCAGTCTCCTCTCAGCTTCCTCTACAGCTGATGCAGCAGGGCTGATGTAGTTGTTAATGTCTTGTACTGTTACTTAAAGAGCTCCTGACTGGTTGCTGAGCCTTGCCTCATTCTGTGCATCCCAAGGCCAAGCTTGTCCTGGGGTTGTCCTGTGCCCTTGGTCCTGCTCTGATGACTCCGTGAGAGCGAGATGGGGAGTATGGAGAGGGATGCCTTGAGCTCAGGATCAGCCTCTGGTTGGACACCTGTCCAACCTGGAAAAGGAAAAGAAAGGTTCTGATATAGGCAGCTGTGCTGGGTGGGGGGAAAGGGACGGGGGAGCAGGGTGCTGTTTGGACTCTGCTCATGCAATGCAGTTCACTTAACTCCAAGTGAGCATAATTGTAGAGACAAAGTAGGAGCAGCCTGAAAATCACAGGGATGGCATAACTTCCAGCTAGAGAGAAAGGGGACTTTATGAGGTCCTGAACCAGTGTCCTTACCTGCTTTGTGCTGTGCTGCAGTGTGTGAGTGCTCAGCCACTCCAGCCCTGGTTAGAAATGAGAAATTTCAAGGGCTATTGAGCACTCTGTGAATTTTCACAGTGGCTCAGCGCAAAGTTATTTAGCACAGGTGTTTTGGTAATTGTGATGCATTGGGAAAATTCACAGTGCTCAATGGCCCTCAAACTTCCACCTGCTTGGTGTGGTGGTTAAGTATTAGCTCAGTGGATTATAAGATAAAATATGCAGAAGAGAGTTGCTGGCTGCAGGACTTTTTCTGGTGCTGGTGATATTTCTTTGTTATTCTACGAGTGGTTTGTTTATCTGGCATATATTAGAAGGACAGAAAGTTGACTTCAGCTGCACTTAGAGAAGAGTGTTTCACATGTAGCAAACCTTAAAGGCCCACATTCCCACTCAGACTGGACAGATGACCCAAGCCACCACCTCCAGCATCCTTGGAGCTTCTGGTCCAGGCTGTGTTGCATGACAAAATGCCCAACCCTGTGCTCTGGGAAGGGAGAGAGGGAGGAGGGACCCCTACCCACACCACTCTAAATGTGTGACTGCAGAGGGCCTGAGAGTTTTCTTTTAATTATCGCTTTCCAAGTCACCTCTGCTCTCACGCTGGCAGTGCTGGGAGGGCCCTATGGGGAAGGACGTGCTGTCTGTCCTTTCATGCACAAATGAATAGGCTGGGCTCCTTTGCAATGATGTGATGTGGCCAAGTACAGAGTTAAAAGAAAAAAACTTAAGGTTTTAGCTTGAGCCCTGACCACGCAACATCATGGTAAGCACATGCGTTGAGCTGATGAGATTGGCCAGTGTTATCGAGTATTTTAAATACAGAAAAAAACATTTTCTGCTGCAGGTCTGCTGTCTCCTAAGCTGATTTTTCATACTGCTCTTGCAAGCTTTGCTGGCTTTTACTGTGCTGTGGGGTGGAAGCTTAAAGCACAAAGACCTGCAACACTGTGGATGAGCTTTTTGGCTGCTGCCATTTGCAGAAGGAAGTGATTTTATTAATTTATTAGGGTTGTGGGTTTTTTTTTAGGTGATGAATGGGTATTAGCGAGGATGCTAGTAGTGTGATTTCCCTCCTTCTGCAGCTTTCCTCCCAGATAAGCACACATAGCTGCCCAGCCTTGTTCCACCCACATCTCTCCCTATGTTCACCCAGTTATCATGGGAATGTGCCCAAACACAACCACTGAATTGAAGTTTTCGAAGAAGTGAGAGTTCAGTATCTGAAAGCAAAAGGTGATAAACAAGAATACTTTGAAAATCCCAAATCTATGCTGGGAAAGGAAGAGAGCTGCTGGGTCAGCAGAGAGCCCGTGGCTGTGCTCATGCATAGTGATCTCAGTGCAGGGGAGGAGGAGGAAAGCACACCTTCCTTAATGCAAGCAGGGATACAGGTTGAGTGAGAGCTGCTGGCAAGGCAATGGAGTCCCAGCACTGAGCTTTGCTCCTGTGGGCACAAGTGGGACTTCGGCGATAAAAAGGCTGTCAGGAGCAAAATGCAGCCACTTGCAAGAGCCTCCCAAAGAGAAGAATTAGACCTGCAGGAAGATTAACGGGAGGATTTTGTTTTGAGCGTATTGGAAAAAATTCAAAATTCCCAATTCTGAAAGATTTTAAATAGAAATTTCAAACTCTCTCCCTCTCACACCATGGTTTTTGGTGTTACTAACATGTAAATTAAGTTCCTTTATAGAAAACAGCATCTCAAGAAGCTGACAAGCATTGCATAGGATGGGATCAGGAGGTGATCCCATTTCTAATATCACTGCTGTTCACTGGGATGGATGTGCAGCGGTGGTTGGGGTGCCTAAGGGCTGCATACTCCCACAGTTCAATGCTGGGCACAGAGCTGGGATATAGAGGTACTGTATGTGGGGTCCCTCTGGGTCCTACCTGAGCCAGCAGGTGATTTGCACTGTTGCCATCCCTGGAATCAGGTTGGGACCTGCACTGCATAGCAACCTTGAAGTATTTTAAGAACCCTCAAAAGGGTATTAACACTGTTCATGAATAATTAGTTTGTCTTGCTGCTGTTTGTGAGTTTTATGCCATTTTGCCATCAGCCAAATAAAGGCTTTTGTTCTTCCCAAATAATTAAACTCAAGTTATTGCTAGAAGACTGGTAGCTCCCGCTTGGTGGCACGGAGGCAGTAATTAGGCTTTTCCTTGGATTTCGCTTTAAGGAGGACTTCAACTTGTTGCTCGCTGCTCACTGCTGTTCAGGCTCAGCTCCATTTTGCAAAATGGTTTCTCTGTTTTAGTGGAGGTTTCTGTTTCAGGTGTGGGTGTTTCATGGGTGGACTCATTCCCAGATGGAAAGTGTTTGCAGCTTGTGTGTCTTCGTTGTTTCTAGGAAGAGCCATTCCTGAAAGCAAGGGATGCATTGTGCCTTTTTCTCCTACTCTTTGAAAGCTGTCAGTACTAATTTAATTAGTTGTTGCATAATCACAGTTTAGCATTTCCAAGTCTAATGTATTGTAATGTTGTTTATACTGATTTGGTGATTAAGGGCTTTGTCAGAGTCTTTGTTTTTCTGCAAAAGGAAAATGCATTTATCACCCTTATGAAAAGAAAAAAACCCAAAGCCTTTCTTGCTATGCAAATGGAACACAGCAGATTAAAGAGGCTGATTTCACCTGAAAAGGTATTTACAAGGTTTTTCCATAGAGTTGCTGTAATTTTTACTGTCTACAGCAGCCATGTGGCACTGGGGCTGTACCCAGCCATGGCCTGGTGAGATGAGTAAGAGGAGCAAGTCTCTTCTGCTCAGCCAGGGCACCATGTAACCTCTTCTGTTTTGGGGATCACTCTGTGCTACTTTATAAGTGTAGCATCCTATGCAAGACAGCTATGGCTGCAGGCTGTGTTTCTGGTCCTCAAAGAAAACAATATGTTTCCTCCACCCTCCTGCTGGAACCTTAGTTGCAGTTTTCCACAGCTGGGTGAATGACCATGTTTGTGTCTGTCACCAATTCCGAAGTCTGTTATTTAAATTACAAAGCTCATTCTTTGCATCAGTGTATGCACAGCAAGTTAGCAATCTCTGCATAAAGTCCCAGCAGGCAGTGATTGTCTCCTAAGGAAGGCAGAAGGAAAGACAGCCCACTGGATTGACAGACATATTGCTGAATTCAGGTGTGTTCCTGGAGCAGTTGGGTTTGTTTTGAAGAAAGTTGCTGTTTAATACTGTTGCAAAGGAGCAGAGGTGAGCAAGGTGTTGGAAATCAGGCTGAATTGCCAGCACAGTTAGAGTGTGGTGTAATAAAATCCAGTGTCATCAGCTTGTTTATGATCTCAGTAAAAACAAACCCAAACCTGAACAGTTATGGTAATTCTGTTTTGGTTTACAGCAATGATAAATAGCAGATACATGAGCTGCCTAGCAGAGGAGCAGACAACTCTCCTGGGACTGACTGCATTGTCAATGTTCCTTGATGGGTCATTGGGGTTTGGGTTCTGGTTAACATCCCGCCCTCTTCAAGCATCTCCTCTGGCTGCAGGTAAGGGTGATGTGGTCCCACTGATTGCTATTTGGTAAATGGTGGGGAAAGGGGGTGTGGGGAGCTGCACCCAGAGTCAGAAATCACAGGATAGAGTAACAAAGTCATGGTGGTGTTTCAGTTGCAAGGCACCTTGAAAGGTCATGTAGTCCAACCACCCTGCAATGAACAGAGACATCTACAGCTGGATCAGTGTGCTCAGAGCGTGGTCCAGCCGAATGAGACAGGAAAAAGAGGGGTTTTATAATAATTATTATTATTTTATTTATTATTGCTAAGATTTTTTTCCTTCCCTCTTCCATTCCCTTCCCCAGGGATAAATTCACAGCAATCAGTACAATGGTTTTGGTTTTCTGGGATTCTACAACACAAAATCTGGCTCCTGCAGAAGTAAAAGTTGCTGGTTTCTCATACACTTCTCCAAGGAGCCTCTGAGCAAGAGGCATGTCTTAGCATAATGAGTTTAAGCATAAACAGTTATTATTTCTAAATAAGTACATGCTATTAAGTGCTATCAAACTTCTATAGAAAATATGAAAATGTTGGGTGAAAAACATTATAAAAGGCTGAACTCTCACCTGGGAAGTAGCACATAATGTAAATCAATAGAGTTGCATTTCTTTACTGCTTTATTGACTCACAAAGACACAGCTTGTAAGAGCCCTTCAGGATCCTTCCCCCTTCCCAACCCTATTTTATTTCCAAATACTGCTAAAGAAATGTTTTTCCTCTAAGGTAATTGCATAACTTCCTTCTGTTTCACACTCAAAAAGCACCCATGTGAGTCAATGAAGCACAGAGCATGTTTAGATTATCTCTTACCCTTCTCTAATGATGTTCAGCAGATCAATCAGTGAGAGTCATTTCTTTTTTTTTCTTTTTTTTCTTCCCCCCCTCCCCCCTTATAAAGGATCTTGATCTTTCTCTTAGGAGAATGACCTTGATTTGGTAGCGCAGCTAAACTGGAAAAGCTGTTTTGCTATTCAAACTGAATTTAGGAAAGCTAAATAAATAGTAGACATAAGAACAAATCTCCTCCCTTAAATGAATGTAGATATTAAGACCTGGCTTTGTCATGATTACAGTCTAATACACAGCTTGCTGAGATGCATTATTTTTTGTTTAGCCTGTGTCTCTAACCTTGACCATTCATCTCTGTGGAATTGCTTCTTTTTTGTATATGTTTTGAGCACACAAAGAATTTAAACTTACATGGCGTGGTCAATCAGAGATACCTAACTGGCTCTTTGGAAAACATGAATCGTGCATTTATTTTTTTTTAATACAAACACAAAACAAGTCAGTGGCACCACATTAATCATTCAAGCCAACTGGAAAGCCTCCAAGCACCAGCTGAGTTTAAAAAAAAAAGAAAAAAAATCAACTGAAAAGCCACACACACTTTGATAAGAACCAACCGGGAATGAGATTTCTTTTTTTCCCTAAGTTTCAAAAAGAACAGCAACAACAACAACAACAACAAAAAACAATTTGAAGAATTGGCAAGAAAACAAATTGAACTATCATGGCCGGTTGTAAGGGCCCTGCTTCGGCTCTGGAGAAAAGATTCATAAATATTCATTTACCTGGGGAAACATGAAAAACAGGATTAGACTTATTCATGGGAGTTCATCTTTAGGGTCAATGCTAGGGTGAGAGAGCCAAGACAGGCAAATTGCAGTTTTATAATGTGTTTCCTGGGACAGGCAAGATGTGCAATCTCTCTTAAAAACGAAAAGGAACAAAAAGGACAAAAGAAAACCCAACCCTCAGAAGACAATGAAAAAGGATTTTCATTGCTTTACACAACAGAGGTGCTGCATACAGATGCATCCCATGGGCAATGCTCATCCACTTGCTTCCTAGCAGCTGTGTCATGGGCAGGGCTAGCTCTGGCCATGTGTCCCCTGATGGGCACCAGGCTGTCCCCATAGACTGCAGAACTGCTCCCTGTGATGTTTTTACCCTTTGTCTGGACCTGCTCACCTGGGACATGGGACTGTCCCCTCCTCAATGCTGGCAGCATCCCACAAACAGCTGCATGTTGGTGAGATCAGTGCCACAATCCAGCCCTGGGCTGCAGTGGGGTTTTTACTGTAGGAAAACATCCTGTGGTTTGGGAGCTGGCAGCTTCTTCCTGGAGTCCTTCCCCTTCATGTCAGTGCACAGCGGAGAGCTAATGCAGTCACAAGTCTGCATAGCTGCAGATAGGATGGGAAGAGTCCACGATGCTTCCAGGACCCCCATTTTAGCAGGGGAAAAGAAAGGGCTGTGACCTCTGGCAAAGCAGCCAGGAGCACGAAGACTTCCATATGTCAGCTACCAACCAGTGAGATGAACAGAAGGGAGCCTTAAGGAAATGTAGCCAGGTCCAGATGATAACTCAATATCTGGGGCTTGGAGTCGCTCCCATCTGCTTCTTCCAGGGGAGGGCTGTCCTGTGCTTGCTCCTGCATCCTTCGATTGCCTGTTTAGAAGGTGACCCTGGCACTGTCTTCTGCCAAAGGGCTGTGTAATACCTTAGGACAGGGGTGCGACCCTCAGAAGCTGTGACACCAACCCAGCCTCACTGCCACCACATCTGTGTGCTGTGGCCAGGAGATAGGCTGCAAAGTGTGGTGGGGAAGTGTGTCTGGAGAGTCTTGCTGGGACCTGCATGGGTTTTTTTGGACAAATCTGGCAAAAATGAAGCTGAATTTAAGAAAAAAAAATAATAGGTATAAACATTTTCTGCTTTGCTGTAAGCAACAAAACCACAGAAGCAAATCGGTTTGTCTGCAGGACCCAGCTGTTAAATGTCAGCTTTCCCAGCTCTAGTGCAAAATGCTTTGCCTTGTGGTTGTGGAAGTGCTCTAACACTGCTTTGTTTTTGTGGTCTCTTCTATGTCTGTAGAGCCACTCCCTCGACCTTCTCAGTTACCGCTGTCATCTCTGGGGTCTTTAATTGTGCCTGAGTAAGTAGCCCTTAGCATAAGTACCAGTGGCTGAGGGGAAATTGGACTTTCTCTGCCTGAACCTTCTGAGCATGGCTCTCTGTTTGCTGATTGTTATCTAGAGCAAGCAGGATTCTGACAAACAAAGGCAGGAAAAGATGCTCTCTCATTTCCGGAGCTTTTGTGCCTTCTGTGTTGTGTCTACAGTGGGCTGGCTTGCAAAGATTTAATCACAACGCTTTAATACAGTGAGTGGGGAATTTCAGCCCCCTCTTTCAGAAGGCCAGATTTCACTGAACAGCTCTGAACTTGATGCCGGGGGAAGGCAGAGGTGTGGGATAGGCTGTGCTGTGGCTTTGCTCCCTTGCCGTGGGCACTCACAATGCTGGAAAGTCCAACCAGCTCCAGCCAGACAGTGCCAAACAGTTTAGGGCCCTTTTGTTGTTAGAGGACTTAAAGCTCTGCTCTGCACTGGCTAACCCTGAACCTCCCTTTATTTCAGCCCCCGCATCCCATGGCTCAGATGTTTTGGTACCAGCAATGAGCAGACTGTGGGGCCTTCCCTCCCCACTCTGTGCTCACTGCAGTCTCGTGCAGTTCTCTTTTTCTTGCTTCTTGATCACCAGCAGCCAGGGCAGCGCAGCTGTCTATCGCAGTGATGAACAGTGAGTGGCATCTCCTCTCCCAGCAGCGGCTGCCTTGCTTTCTTCCCCTCTCTTTCGATAAAAAGTGACAAGTGCTCCTTCACGGAGCGCTGCAATCAAAGGCGCTGCTCGAAGGGAGCTGACAGTCGGCTGCGAGCTGGTTTACCCGGGGACTGCTTAAATAGAGTTCACATCCTGCCCAGCTCTCCCTCGTGTGACAGTGTTTTGCACCCTTTCTGATGGTACCAGAGCTTATCTCATCGTGCCTTTATCTGAATAATCAGCTCAAGGGCTTCTAATTCTCTCAGAGGGATTGCTGTAGCTCTGCAAAGCTTCCTAAAATGTGGCACAAGGTGTGCCATAGGGCTTAGCGCTGTGATCTGCCCCCCAGTACCCGCTAATGGCCAGGATCATGCCTAAGTGGATTTTCCAGCCATTTCAGGCTGCACTGGTGTTGATTTAGTCCTGGTTGAGACAACCACAGCCACCCTTAGCAGGAGGATTGCACCTCGAAGTTTGTGCTTGGGGCATCTCCACTGGAACTGCTGCCTCTCCTGGCAGCAAGGTGCCAGTGAGCTCCTTTCTCTCTGTAGCGGCTGCTTTTCAGCACAGCAGCTAATCCAGCAGGTATCTGTGTTAGGGGATAACGGATGCTCTATTTCTATCTTCTGCAGCTTTTTTTTTTTCTTTTTTTCAGTGGGGTATCAGCTTCAATGCTAATGTGCATGGGTAAGAGGATGAGGAAAGCTACTTTGCGAGGATTCTCCTTTTGCTGCTCTGCAATGAAACAGAGGTACTATTCCTTGCAGTGGTCTGTGTGAGATAGCCAGACTTTTAACATTTCATAATTATTTTCTGGATAATTATCCATTAATACTGTCATGCTTGATTCCATACCAATGTCTGCTTTTGGCCAAGGTCTCTTTCCGCTGTCCTGTTTTGCAAATTTGGACTAAGCCACCAGAGAAAACTGCTCTTGCTGAAGTCAGGGAAGCACATTTGCTAAGCAGGCCAGGGTAGCAATTTGGTAACTTCAGTAATTAGTCACTCGTTTCTAGAAGGCTGCTTTATGCAGCACATAAATGGGAACTAACCTTTAGGAATCCTCCACAGCGCTGACACCTAGCATCAAACTTACACTTCGCAACAGGAAGGGGAATGCATAATTTATGAGCTGGTGAAGTATCTTTAATTAAACCAGTATTTTCTAAATTTTGACTTAATTTAATTTTAATCTAGCAGAAAGAAGCAATCTGAGTCCGGCCAAGGTTTTCCTTAAATACCAACCTTGCTATGTGGGAGGCTCTGAATCAAGTAAGACAGATGATTTTAATTTCCATGTTCTCAGTGTAACACTTGGGGTCAATGTTTGCATACTTTTCATAGGCAGTTTGCAATTGACAACCACTGTAATTGTTAAACTTTGGTGGAGACCTGATTGACTATTGTGCACTGTCACCTTCCTGCCTTTCCCTGCCTGTCCCTCCCTTGGCCTCCCTTCCCCTTCCTCCCTTCCCTTCCTTCCAGCAGCAGAGGTGGCATCACACCAGGCTCCGCTGCAGTGACAACTCCTCCCTGTTGGCTTTCTGGATGTTCTAGCTCTGTTTTTTTCCTGCCTCCATCTTTCTGCAAGTCTGCATAAGGCGAATAACTCACTTTTCTGCAGCACGAGGAATACTAATTCCTCAGCCTGTGTTATTTTCTCCTATGTCTCCATTTCCCCACTATCCGTCTTTGGAGTGCCAATGATTGCTCTGCTCTGTCTATATAATTAGACCAGTTGGCTTGAGTAATTACTTTTTGCTTCCTTCAGTTTGCTCCTCTGCACTAGTTGGTTTTTTTTTCCTTCATTTTAGTCCCTTCAGAGGAAAATTCAAAGCAAGGTGTGTGGCTTTTAACTCCCTACAGCCCATTGAATCAGAGGCCACCGACTGCTCAAGTCTGTGAAACTTGAGTTTGCTCAATACTCAGCTGATAACTCTCTCATACTCTCTCTCTCTTATCCATGTTAAGTGAAATTTTATGTGATATACCTGCAAGTGCCTGTGTATCTCCTGCTGGGAAGGGACCATGCCAACCCCTTACTCTCACATCCCTTCAGGGAAACTGTGGCTGTTAGGGGCAAAACACCCCTTCACTCCATGAGCAAGGAAAGGAAAAGTCTCATTGGCTGAGTCAATATATGTGAAGAAACCCACTATGGTGACTAGGGAAGTTCCTGCTCGCCTCTTGAAGGATTTCCTTTCCCACCTAAGCATCTGTTTAATTACAGCTATTGCAAAGACAGTTAATAGCTGACGAACATGCCAGTATATTTTAATTGAATATATTGAGCGCACTGAACAAAACCACAGCTCTTGACCTTTCCCATAAGTGAAATGTTAGGACAATTTTTTTCTGCATCAAGAGCCCAGGGAAAGTGTAGAGGGGACCACCCACTACTGCTAATGGGAGTCACCCATGTAAATCCCTCTCATGTCAGCATAGTAATAGGCTGCTTAGCATCCAATTAGTTTCATTTCATACAGTTGTTGTTCATGTTACAAGGGAAAGAAAGTGGGAGCAATGATCTGGCCAAAGCACAGTGCTTTTCCTCCTCCAGCCACTCCAACTGTGGTCATCCCACACTCACACTTTATCACCATCGTGAAAGGCTGGAATGATTTAATGGCAGTGGCTACAGTTTGTCATTGCAATGGGACAGATCTGTGAATCAACCAGCCCCTCCTGCTCTCTGGGATCATGATGGGACAGAGCAAGATTTATTCTGAATGCTGGGAATTGTTAGCCCTTTGCCTGTGCAAGTGCAAACCCACACCCCCCTCAAAAAAAAAGGGGCACTTAAAGCTGTTGCTTAAGTCTTTATTGATTTCTAAGGAGCAGGAGCTTGTGATTAAAGTTTGCTCGTGCTTAGGTTCTTTCCTGAATTGGTTCTTAGGTCCTTACCCCAGCAAAACTCTCATTGATTTGTGCAGGAGCACGGGCTGGCTGAGCCCTCAGGGAATGGCTGTGTATTTATTTGCACACACATGACAATTTCAGAGCAATTTTGTAACGTTACAGCTGCATTACTGGTGTGTTTTAACTGGCCATCAACAGAAAACTGGACTTATCTATTGTGGTTTGATATTCCAAGCTAGGTAGGAACATTCAGTCCTGGCTTGCAAACCATTTTGTCATGTAAAATAAATTTTGTAGGTTAGATAAGTCAAGAGCTTACTCTAGCAAAATATCAGCCTGTGTCTGAAAGCTGCGGTTAGGCTGCATCGAATATTCAAGTACAGGGAGGAAAGGGAAAGCTCTTCTTAAGGCTCATTAGAGATAGCAAAAAGATACAAAAAGACCCACCACCATTTTACACTTGTAAAAAATATCCCTAGTAGGTTCATATTTTTAATCTTCAGTACAAAAGCTTCGTAACTACAGCAAGGCATTATTTTCTGATGACTAGCTACCTTTTTTCTATAGCCTCTGGCATTGAAGCTCTCAGTGAAAAGACACTTTAGAGCTAGTTCAGGCAGTTCATTTTCTGTCAATCAACTCTCAGGCTCTAAGTAGAAAGGCAGTAACATGACAAGATTTCTATTTTAATATCTTTACTCCTGATAAGATAATCCTAGAGGAATGGCAGTGATCAAATATTTACAGGCAGTGCTCACTGGCACAGTCTATTGTAAAATTAAATACACAAAATTATGTGGGGATAATGTTAATGTTGTGATATGAGGACAAAAGGCAGAATACCTGAAATGAAGGTTGACTATTGTTAATAAATCCTCCTCTGCAGTGGGGATTTCTGCTGCTGGAGCAGAGAATGGAGGAACAGCTTCCATTTTGTGATGTGTGACTTTCTGCTGCTTTTCAATGGGTTGTTTGCTATTTCAACATATTTAATTATGTAAGAAGCTTGAGTTTCAAGCATGCTTTTGTGTGTGTGTGTACTGTGTATATCTCCCATGGTGTGACTAAAAATGGGCACTGATGAGGACCCCGGGGGCCCTGACTGGACCATCCTCTCAGAGTACAGGCAGTAGGCCATACGCTGAGGAGCAGCTGAGTACAGGACAGGTTTACCCTTCCAACTCTTGCCTTCCCCCAGAGGACAGAGTCACAGAATCATGGAGGTCTTTTCCACTCTTAATGACTCTAACCTCATCTCCTCCAACCATCATCCCATCCCCACCAATCCACGTCACTCACTTCTTAGCGACATTTCCATGTTTCCTGAACACCTCCAGGGACAGTGATTCTACCATCTCGCTGGGCAACCTGTTCCAATACCTTACCACCTCTTTCTGAGAAGAAATTTTACTTTTAATATTCAAGATGAAGCATCTTGGTACAAACATGAGGGCCATTACCTCATGTTTGTGGTTACGAAGCTGCTCAATAGCTCTTCAAGACAGGAGACTGAGTAGCAGTAGTAAAAAGTGCAGGTCTTAGAGCACATCACCCAGAAGTACCGCCTTGAGAAGGTGGCAGCAGGTCGGTGCATGTCCTGCAGCAAGACTCCCAACCTTGGAGCTAACAGGAGTTCATCAGTAGGCCACTTGAAAGGAGATTTTTATTTTCCTGGAGTTGACTTCCAAAAAAAGTGGGGTGGGGAGGAATGAGCACAGAGAACAGAGGAGGGTGCTGGAGGGAACAGTAGATGACATCTTCATCCTGAAATGCAAAGCTAGAAAGACTCTTGTCCCAGTAAACTCTTTTTTTTCCCTAAGAAGAAAAATTGCATTTTCCAGCCAGCTCTGTTCATGAGTGTGCAGAGCTCTGTTAATAGGTTGTGCCAGGCTGTGGTCACCCTACAGAGCTATTGGCAGGAGAGGTGGCAAGTTAGAGAGGACTATAAGGGAACTCTGCATGGTATTTTTTGATGAGCTGATTATTCAGGAATTTCACAACAGCTGAAATACATCACTCTGTTCCAAATCTCACAGCTCTGCCAACACTCAGGACAGCTTACATGAGCAGCAGCATTTCCTCCTTCCCAGCGCTGCTGGTCTGTATGTTCAGAACTAGATGCAGGAGCAGGACAAGGCTTTTCAACAGCCATCGACTATGGTGACAGTAAAGATGGGAAATGGAGAGGAAACAGAGACCTGAGATTGAAGTGAATTAGGTACTTCCATGGCTGTCACAGTCTGTGTAGTTAGGATTAAAAGTTTTCCTTTAGCTCTAGGGGTAGTGGAGCACTGATTTTTGTTGCTTCACAGACCATGCGTGACTTTTTTAGAATTTATTTTAGGGCATGTTTAGTCCTCAACTGCCCTTCAGGGTGCTGTCACAAGCCAAAGCTGACCTCAGCTCACCAGGAGTGACGTGCAGAAGAAAGGTATCTGTAACCTTGCATAGCATGACACAGGCCCAGGCCAAAGCCTTTGGAGCTGATTCCTAATATTTTTGCCCAGCCTTAAAAATCTTTGTGTGAGCAGATGGTGCCAGGTGGCTTTCAGATGGGACTGTATGCCAGGCCTGCCTGGTGTGGCAGGACCCAAGTCCATGGACCAACAGTGTCTCCAATGGATCGGTGCTCTCAGACAGGCGGCTCTGCACACTTCCAGTAAGCTGGCCGTACTCCTGCTTACAGGACTAATGGTGCAAGAGACAGCTTTTCTGCAATTTCTGTTTCAAAGCAAGCAGGGATAAGAGGGCAGCTGGAGCCACGTCTTTCTCCCAGCCTGTTCCTACAAAGTCAATGAAGAGCAACGCAGCTGAAACACAGCTATTCTGCTAATGAAAACAGAGGCATGCAGGCATAGTCATCAGATCCCCTTGGAGGAACTGCTCACTTCAACAAAGTAAACTTTTACTAATGGAAAAAGCATAGAAAATTTGCCTGTGTATAAAGACAGGAACGAGGTCCCAAGCCATTAACAGCAACCACAATCAGCTCTGCCTTTCGTTAGGAAGCCACAGCACTGAGACTGTTCTATTTGCACCATGTCCACCTAAGCCCTGCACAGCAAAATGCTCTTCACCTTTCTGATTTTTCCTATGTTTTCTCTTTGCAGTGGAAGAGCTCAGTAACTTGCAGCATTGCCCAGTTAAAGGAGAGCCCTGGGCATGCTGCATGCTGGATGCTGGACATGACCCAAGTCCCAGCATAAGTACAAGTGAATGAGGCTGGAAACAAAAAGCTTGGGTTACAAAGACCAGCAGTGCCTTCAGCAGAGGGTCTCCTTGCACTTTCAGCAACTTGTATCATTGTATAGAATGCCCTGGGTGAAGAAAAGTTTACAGGAAGGATATAAATGACCCAGACTGCCAACCTTAAAGCTCAGGTCTTAAAAATGGGCAGGGGAGTTGACTCTACATACTGCTGGAGGATGTCATGTACTTCATGATTTGCCTTTTCTAATCTCTTCTTATCTCTCACTCCAATCCTTTCTCATGTCCCTCATCTTTTGCAAATTCCCTTTTAAAGCTGGAGCTCAGCACATAAATATTTTCTTGCAGCATAAATAGGTTGTTTTGTGCATAATGCCACAGGAGGCTTTTTTTAAAAAACAGGACCTTTAGTGCTGTGATATCAGCCTCTTCATTTACACAAATGAAATGTTCCATACAGCTCAGTACTCATCTGCTCAGCAGCCCCCATGTGAAACGGTTGGCACAGTGCCTGCTTGTCATGGGCTACAGCATTAATAGAGAATATTCCGTATTTAATAGGAAACCTCTATGGTTTGAAAATACCTTGTAAACGTAATGGATGCTCGGGTTTTCCATTTAGCATTTTCCCACTGGAGCAATCTTTGTTTTCTTTCTTCACAAAATCACAGATACTTTAAATATTTAAGTGCAAAAGGGCTACCATTCATGTTGGCCCATTTGCCAGCCTGTCTGCTCAGTTTTTCTTCTTTGTCACCTCTTGCTCCCTGATCTCATTTCCTGTTTAGTCAGCCCTTGTTCAGGATCCAAAAAGTGCAGAAACCATCAGAATGGCCTTTTCATTTACTCTGCCTGGAAAAAGAAATTGCATTACAATAGCCACAGTTTTTCAGAGGGCTAATGAAAGATATGGGTTGCCACATCACATCGTGGTAAATCTTTGAAATCAAGAAGCTATATTTTAACAGCGATGCAGTAAAATCTGGAATTAAAATCAGATCTAGTGTTTTTATTTACATTTGACCAGCAGAGATACTTCAAACCAACAGGCTGAATGTGCTGTAGAGTGCAGAGAAACTTAGGGAAAAACTTGGGGAAAACTGTGCTGCATGCACATTTGTCCATTGTGTATTTTCATGTTTCTCAGGTCAGAGTGTGACTCTACGGGGCAGACTATTTTGGAACATTTGGAACAGTGAGCACACGTGGGTGCTGCTAGGCACGCAAAGCACTGCATGGCTCTGGTTTGGACCTGACCCTAAAATCCCCAAGCGTTTAAGTTAAACCCTGCACCACATGTCCCCCTTCTGTGTGGCTCTCAGGGGACACAGAAGCTTTGGCTGCAGCTTCCCCCCAGCTCAAGAGTAAGATGGTGGGTGCTCTTTTCATGCACGTCTTGCAGACTCATTCTCTCAACTGCTGACTTCTTTTTTCTTCATTACATGCTAGCAATCAATGACTAACCTATTAGGATCCTTCGCAGGGCTCTGAACACAGCATTTCTTGCCAAAGGAGCGTTCCACACGAGTGGCTTCTGCTCACGTTGTCTGTTGCTGCAAGTGGGACTTTCATGCAGTCTAACCTTACTGCGATGACTATCACATTAGCAGCTTTACATATTCATTGATTTGCAGAAGTGTTTTGTATTGCCTTAAGCTCCGAAACCTTTGTGACAATGCATTACAAACAACAGACAAAGGAAAGATCTTAAGAAGGGCTACAAATTTCTTGTTCTGCTATCTTATCTGGCGGAATAGTACCTCTCCAAGTTTATCTTGTCTAGTCTACAACAAAGCCCTGTTTTTTATGAAATATCACACTGCTAAAGGATCTAATTTTTCTTTGATACAATAGCCTACGTACAATAACTGAATCTCAAAAAGCACAACACAGAGTAAACACTCTATAATGTATCCAAACACAGCAGCTATCCAGTTATTCTAGCACTTTATTTCAATTTAAACCAAGGGACAATTTTAAAAGATTTGCTCCCAAGTACACAATTCAGAAAAATATAACTTACTACTCAGAGCAGTACTTTGAATCAGTGCTGTTAGTTGTCTTAGCTGAAATTTATCCTTGATGATATCCAGAGGTCCAATAAAATTTTTCATTGAAGAATCCCTTATTTGTAGAACATAAAATCATTCAGCTGCAACTCCAGGACTGCTGAGAACGGCAGAACGAGGTCTTCCTTATGTCACAGGACGTTTTTCAGACACGTTACCTGAGAAATATCAAATGCACTGATTAAATATAATGGTATATTTGATGTGTGTTAGTAAGACAAAATGTAAGGCTGTTTATTGCTAACGAGTTGGGTGCTCATTAGTGTGCTCCATCAGGAAACACTGGCAGCAAAATGCAAAAGGAAATGTTCGGAGTTAAATCCACACACAGCACATTTCAGCATCTATTATAGCCTGTGCTATCGGAAGAGGAGAAAACCATCACATGCAACTACTTTAAAAATATATACCAGAGTAAGAAAGAGAAGCATGTTTGATTAGTTTTATAGATATAGTTTTTTCAATAAAGTTCACTTCCATATAATACTAATGCCTTTCTTTCACGTTGCACTTTTCATTCCTAACTCACAAAGCACTGCAAAAGAGGTTAAGATCGTTTTACAGAAAACAAACATGAAGTGAAGCACCTCTCTGATGTCACTGAGTAACACAGTGCACAGCTCTGTTGACTGCTAGTCATAGGAACAAGGGATTACAAAGGGCATCTTGTGTCATCACATCCAGCTTCTTACTCTTCAAATCAATTTTGCTATAATAATCTCATGCAAGACACTTTCTTTGGAGTGCCTGATCTCTTATATAAGCTCCTTAAAATGCTCTTTCAAAATCATCATCTCTTGTATATCCTCACCCATCTTGACCCTGTTGCGGGACTCTCTAAGTAATGCCAAAGCATTACACATCAATGATGAGGGATCATTACTCTGACTTCAGCTGTCTCTGACACTGGAGTATGAGAGGGATGCTCTTCCCGGCCTGCTCCAATTTTATGCATCTTATAGTGGGCCTTCCAAGAAAAAGACCTGTATGAGGTGCCACAACAGGCAGGTAGAAACAGAAATGCTGAGAGCCTGGCAACTGCAGCTGAATAGAGCAGTAAGCATCATGTGCTGACCCCATGCACAAAGTCATGTTATTGCATCTCTAACTGGAGGCCTCCATTTGCCCAGGATGCTAACACAAATGGGGCACATAATTGGCCTTTTGTGTACAGACTGATACCCTGGCAAACAACAGAGCCTCGAATACACTCAGTCCAATGTATTTCCAATGTCCATCACACCTCTCCTTTTTCAAACAGTTATTTACCAGAGAAATTAGAGAAATTATATTGCCTTTCCACCCTCACAGCCTCAGTACAGAAACACAAAGGCAGCTCTTAAGCTTCAAGGTCATGTTCGGGTTGCAGGTTTGAGCGCCCTTGTGAGCTGTTTCATTATGCAGCAGCTGCAGCGATAGGATAACTTGATACAAACCTTTGCTAATAATTCAGCATAAAGTAGACTTTTTGCTTGGGATCTTCAGTTTTGTGCCTTCACTTCAGACCATGCTTAGAGCTGGCTTCACTACTCAGAAAGCGGTATCAGCTTATTAAACACAAAGCTGTTCCCAAGCATTACACTGGGGCACAGCCTCTGAACTTCTTTCCCCAGGCTGCATGCAAGGCTTGGATCCTTGCTGCTGTGAGGCTGCAACTCCCCAGCCAGCCTCTTCTTTGTTTGATTGTCTTTTCTCACTGAAACATAAGCTTCCACTTTTCCATGGCATTTCAAGCAACAGTACCCATTGTATGCACCTCTTGACTGACAGCTCGGTGGCAGCCTGTGAATTACTCGGCACGAGTTTTATGAATTGGTTTCAAGAAGGGTCTGGCTGCTTAGTGAATGCATCTTTCTGCAGCTTTGAAGGGCAAGGGATTAGCACCATTTTAGTATACGTTCAGGTAGAAAAGTCCTTGACCACAGCTGGTATCACCTTTCTTTGAAGTTCGACATTGTCTTCTCCATTTTCCTCACAACAGTGCTTAACAGATCACACTAAAAATACTTGGCGTTTGACAGACAGCTCAGGTAAGCATTTAGGTTTCTGGATATGCAAGTTAAGAGAACATCTGGCCTTCTATCAGCTTCCTTTGCTAACAGTAATGCATTTGCAGCTTTGCCTTTATTGCAGCACAATCTTGCCTGTGTCTCTGGCCATGACATTGCTGCTGTAGCTGTAATTGCAGGATCCAAGCAGTGCAGTATGGAATTCATTGTACTCTTTACAGCTGAATTAAATGGCGACCTACAGGGAAATGGAAGTCCAGAGAACGAGATATACAACTTTTAGCACAGCACCACTTACATCCTCAAAACAGAGCTCTGTCCAGTGTGAGAATAACATTATGTTTATGGTGGCTTCCTGCAAGAGGAAGGCACTTAACTCATAACCACAGCTAACTCTATTGCAGCTTTGTTTCCATAAGAATAACGACATGCTTCAACTAGAAGAATTATCTGCTTTGATGCTGAAGCTGCCGTGCATTAACATACCACGTTGGCTTGGGGAAAGCCTTTGCTCTGAGCCTTCTGGGGTGGGTATTACTGCTATGCTCAGTCACTACATTTCTCCTGGCTGTTTACATCTTCCCTTGAAGAGATAATTTAACTCCTGTGCATAAACCTCCCTGCTACTGAAGTGGTGGCTGTGGATGTTTTACACTTCAAAAATACCAGCAAGGGCCCCGTTACATTTGTCTGTGGAATTTCTGTTGATATTAACCTTCCTTCCATTCCACTGAAATGATAAAAAGATTACTTTATATCTACTTGCTATAGAAAAAAAAAAAGTTTTGGGTGAAAAAGCACAGGCCCTATGATCCGATCCATCTTCTCTTTGCTATTTCCAACTACTTAAAGCATAATGTCATTCTAAAATGCACACTTGGAGTGTGGCGTTCTATTCTGACAGATTGTTATGATGTTTTCCAAGGTGACCTTCATAAAGCATGTTTCTTTTGAAGCTTATATTTCACTCTCAGGTCATAATAGTTTCACACAGACAAGCAAACTGTCAGCTTCTGCTTTCTAATTAATGGTTCTTGGATGCTGCTGAGTAGGGGATATAATTAATAGCACTTAAGGCTGGAGTGCAGCAAAATCTATAGCTGATTACTAGGATGTGTGTTTACTTCAGGATTATATGCAAACAATTCCTAAGTGCAGCCATGAACAGCTCTCAGTGATGCTCTTGGGGATGCCCCCAAGACCCGGCACACCTCAACTCTTACTCCAGTGTAAGCACTCCAAGAACTGCCATGCGTGTGAAACAAGGCTCCCACAGCTGATGGGCACTCACCTCCACTGATGCAGAATTCATGGCACGTTGTACTTTCTGTGCTGGCGTGGTGGACACACTCCAAGGCATAATCATCAGTCTGCGGTTTTATTAGTTCAAAGTGCCAGAAATAACGGGAGGGCTTTTCTTAGAGTAAAGCTGCCAAGGAGAGGTTCTTTGAGCCATCTTGTCACACTTGTCTAAATTTAAGGAAAGGGATGTGCTTGCTCTGGTGCTCGTGGTTGCACATGCAGCATGAACGATCAGATGTGCTGGAGCAAGACCAGATGCGAGTCAAATTGCCAGTTTAAATTCCCTCTGGTCAGCTGCTGCTAACGGTGGTAATTTCCCTGCTGAAGTCAATAGAAGAGCATCTTTTCATGCATGCTGATATCTTGGTACAGAAGAGAGAGTCGTGAGGCAGGATGAATGCTCTCAAAGAACGAGATCATCTCTTTCACAGTGGGGTGAAAAAAATGAATAAAATTTGTATTCTCTGACAAAGTTTAATAGACTATATTCTCCAGAAACACTGCCAGACTGGGGATGAAGGGTAAAGCTGACATTAGAAATCCTGCACCACTGTGCAGCCTGTATTATTTTTGAGAGATTTAAAAATGAATTTTGCATGTTGGATGACAAATACTCAGATGATTAAGCAATTAAAAGCTATGGGATCTTTGCAGCTCAAAAAGCACTGGGCAATGGAATATCACTGCCAATCTCCTTTATGCAAAGGGACATTTTGACATCATAGTTAAGACTGAACACTTTTCAAGCAGCATAGAAATATGACTGCAATTGCACATAAATAGGAAAACTTTTACTGACACTTGTGCAGCCTGGTTCTTTCTTCAGAAGCCACACTACACACTGAAACTGCCTTTGAAGAGAAACATTCTTCGTATCCTATCTGAAGGTTAGTAACCCTTTTAATCTTTAGCCTTTTGGCTGTCATGTGTACCATGATTTAAAATGCACAAAACAGACTATCAAAACAGCCAGCTCTAGACAGAAAGATGTTGAAGGTGCAACTGAAAACAAGCTTGCAAATTAAGATTCTGCATCAAATATTGCCCTTTGAGTGAGGACTCCTTCCTTGTGGTTCTACCTCAAAAGAGATACCAGTTAGCAAACATAACCAACACAAGTAGAAACAGCACCTGAAGAGGTCAAATCTTGGTGCCATTAAGCAAGCAAGTGGCTAACAGGAGCAATGACATTTAAAATATTCTTTCCACAGAAAGTTTTTTTTTTCTTTTTCTTGTCCTTATTCAGAGTGACACTGAACTTCAATTTGGATATCTCCAACAATTTGGGTAATGGTTCAGCCATGGCTACCCACCAAAGAGGGATCAACACCAGCATATGTAGTAGGAAAAGAATCAGGAGCTTCTTACCTTTTTCAAGTGCTTCTTATGAAAAAGAAAGTCATCTAAAAGTCCTTATTGATCAGATAATCTATAAATACAGATAAAAAAGTGTACCTGTACCTAATCAAGTCACACAGGAGTTGTGACAGTTGGTGAAGGACTTGTGATAAATGTAAGGGCAGCTAGCAAGGCTCCGAGGCACTGCTCAGTCTGTCCAGGCTAATCTAGCTGAGCTGGGATTCCTTGAACATAACACTTAAGTAGAAAAATAATGCATGAGGCCTTAAAAATTGCCATCTGTTGGCTCCAGAACACACGCATTCAGCTCTTTCTGACTTTCCCTGTTCTACATGAAAAAGCTCAAGTCAAACAGTGTCCAGGTAAACTTATAAATGGCAAAATAAATCCTCTGTAGGTGAAAAACAAAAATAGCTTTGAAGGAGAATGCATATAACCTTGCTAATTTGCCAAGAGTTTTCAATCTTCATCATTTTAGAAGCAAGGTTAAGAGAGTAGGTAAAGGTTGAGAAATTCAGAAGATGCTCAGATACACCTTTATCAGAGGTTCAGAGCTTTAAACATCAGAAGCAAAACAATGTCAGGGAGAACAGATTGACAGTGATGCCTTGCATTGGGAACCAGGGGATGGAAGGACTGTTTGTACTAAGCAAAATACTCTCATGATAATGATGCTGCTGAGATTTAATTTACCAGCCTGTTCTAGGAAAGGTAATGACCTTAATATCATGGAGAACTTATCAAGAGGTCATCCATGCAGAGACGCACTGATTTATTTTCCTAATAAATGGAAATAAAAGTCCTGCCACATGTATAAATTCATTCCTGCAAGCCAATTCCATCTATAAAGCTTTGTGTTTAGTATCAGGAGATCCTAAGAACATATTAGTAATATGTGGGTATCTGATTTCAATTCCCTTGAGAACCTTTCTGTAAAAGTACTTCAAATTCATTCCTAAACAAACCAAAAAAACCCTCCTAAATCCCAGACTTACCCACCATATTCTGAATACTATTCATGCCATGGATGAAGCACTACATAATGCCTCTGTTTGTAGAAAGGACGTATTATCTAAGGATAAGGTCTTTCTGTCCGAGTCACCCATTTTTCTGGCTCTCAGAAATGCTCATCTCCAAACAAATCCCACAGTCACAGCTGAAACTTAACTGTATAGCCCAAACCCTATTTCTGGTCCTTGATCTTCCTATGTGCCCAACTGGATCAGACCCAGGTGCTGAGGACAATCTTCCCCTGCTCTTGCAAATGACATGCAATGCACAACTTTCTCTGTGCCAGCCCACAGTGGTGCTGCCATGGTTAATTGGCCTGGAGAAGCTGGTGTTTTTGCTGCAGTCGTTACACAAGTGAAAAACAGAAAGGAGAGAGTCCAGTAAACCAGTTCAAATAGAGAAGATAGAACCGCAGAGAAGATGAAGTTGTCACGCACAGGTGCCATGTGTGCCATGTAGCTGAGCTCAAGATTTTTCAAGCTGGGCTGCAAGCAGTGAGTCACAGGCAGAGAAAAGGGATATTTATGGGATTTTAGTTCTTCTGATGAAAAAAAATATGAAAGTCAGAAATGACAGAGAAATGAGAGTGCTGGATGGTGACAAACAACATATGGGGAACAGGGGAGAGGGAGCTTTTGGCATCACTGCCGCAGCACACATCCCAGCGTAACTCATATCGTTCTCTGGGGGCCAGTTCATTTCTACAGAAAGAATCTGGCTTCTGGGACTCTGGGTACAAAATGAAAACCTTTCTGTTTCTAGAGCACCAATGTTAGTGTTTGCCAAGAGTTTCCTCTTTTCTATTCCCCCCTACACATATTTCTTTTCCTTTAAGGCCAACAGGAATTTAGCAGAACAGGCTGTTTTCCAGCAGGCGTAACACTGAGTGTTGAACTGATCAGATGATTTAAGATGTGCAGGACGAAGCTAGCATTTGCACGTACTACTCTATAGTCTGAACTCTGCTGGTATCTGTTATGTGTACACAAGCACAGCAGTTTTTAACTCATTGTCTAGGTATCATGGTGGTATCATGGTTTTCTGTTCTAAAAGCAGAACAAGGACATCTTAGGACAGGCATTCATCTGGAGTAACTACTGATAGTTCTGATTTCCAAGTGTGTTATTCTTCTGCTCTCTGGTAACTAAAAGCTTTAAGTTGGTTCTTACTGAAGGATGAGGATGTTATTTTAGCTACTGTTGGAGCACTTTGTCCATTTTGGAACAACACAAACCTAAGAGCTCTCATTCTGTTCCATTCTATGTAGTCTTGTGTGTTCTTAAGAAGAGAGAATTGAACAGTTCTGGGTGTTGCAGGAATATGTTGACGTGCAAACCATTACCTTTAATTTTCTTGAAAATACTTCTTCAGAATTGCTGCTTCAGCTGCCATTTCCTCTTCTGTCCTCCACTTGTCAGGGGAATCCTCTTTGTCATGGCCCTGCAACTTTTTTTGAGAGAAGAAGAAAAAAATAGCTTGTTGATATATATATATATTTTTTTGGAGTTCTATTGTCACAAGCAAGACACATCTGACTGAAACTATCAAAGTATTCCATGGGTTTATGGGATGGAGAGACATGAAGGTAGAAAGATGAAGGGTGAAGGTTACTGGTTTTGGATTGCAACAGCAGAAGGTCTGGCTAACTGGCTCTGAAGGATTTATGATGATAACACAGGGTGCCAGGATGAGTAATAGGCGGTGACAAAGTTCACCTTTGTGCACTGATGATCAGATACCTCGTGAGTCTTTGATGCAAAGCTGGTAGGTAATAGGATAACAAACCCTCTGGCAGCTTGAAGTGCCCATTAGACTGGTGGAGTGGTCCAGGCAGAAGCTGCCTGGACACCTTGTCAGTAATTCATGTAAAATTTTCTCTCTGCTTTTTCCTCTTCCCATGGGGCTAGCTTTCTCATCAAAGACCTATTGTGATAACAAGGCCCCACTGCAGCTGTTTCCATCTGCAGTTTATACCAGCAGTTTTCAGAAGAGATACATTACTTCCCTGCACGCAAGTTATTAGTCTTTCCTTGCCCTTGCTTTAGAAGTGAGGTACAGCCCTACTTTAGAAAAGAAAATTCTTTTAAGAACACTATATTTCATCAGTGATTTAATGGGGAAAAAGATCAAAAGTTGTGAAACAGTTAATTTTTCAATCTAGCTGCATAATACACCTTCAAAAAAATCCCATATGTAGTAAGAATTAAGTGACATTATAGCAGACCTGAAAATTTCAAACCCATCTACTGCTTCTCCAGAAGAGAGTCCTATTTTATGGCAAATATTATGTGGTAGCACTCAAGTGCCTATTTGTACACATGTACGCTCAAAGAATTTCTGCCACTTATCAAGGGAAGACTACATTAACAGCAGGCAAGAGAAACATTTGCGTTAATTGCTTAAGTATTGAGATTTCTAGTGTGTCTCTGGGTACAGACACAAGTACAGATTGCATTAACAGCTTCCATGCTTCTGAAAAACATTATAATATCAACTCGTTGTTAATGCCACAAACAAAGCTGGAAGCTAAATGAATTTACACCTTTTAATCCTGGGCAAATTTTAGTTCAGAAGATGAAGCAGTTAGAAACAAAGACAAAACAATATTGTACCTGCCAAGCAAACTTCATTACTGTATATGGCATGTTTAGCAATAAACTAGGATTGTTAGCATATATCCAACTCACACATACTTTTATTTGTGCTGTGTTTCTCCAATTCTGAATTTTGCTGCCAGCTATAGTCCTGTGCGGTTTTACATTCTGCAGTACAGATTTCTTTCTGCTCAGCAGATGAAGCTGCTTTAGAAAGCTATTTCCTTTCATGCCAATATGATACAATAGCTGTAGGCAAATTAAAGTGTATTACTGTTTGACTAGTATAGAACTAATCTTCATTGTTATGTTAGCTCTAGGTATGTCATAAATTCATCTTGTAATAATGCTACAGAATTATGGAGAAAGATTTACATACCAGGAGCAGGTACTCTGTACACACGGTCAACATACATCATTTCTGCCACTGTAGGAACCTATGTGGCACGCGGGTACCACAGCTAAGCTGGCAATGGGAGAAGTAGCACACATCCCCTTATACTTCCCATTGACCGTGAGTGCTCACACTTCACAAGACAACTAGGACGAGCCAAGTGGTGGTAAATCAATTGTCTGTCTGAGGTGTGAGCTGCTTTTCTAAAAAAGCAGTCTCGCTCATTCGACCTGGTGTCAGCAGGAGACATAGCAGCAACAGCTCGAAGGCGAGGGAAGCCAGCCCCTGCTCCTCAAGCTCTCCTTGCTTAACTTTTAGTGATGTCTTTGGCTGTTCTTTTCCCTCGCAATCCCATTAGTGAAATTCAGGCAAGAGCCAACTCACTTGTACAGAGATTAATAAGGTAGGGATTTAACTCAGCTTTTATTTTAATGTTGCTTGCTCAAAGAAACAGAAGTGTATTGAATGAATTGCTGTGGTGTTTTATACAGAAGTGAGCTTCATGATGTAACTATAATCAACTCCCTCCATGCTGTAGGAAGGAAGCAGCTTTTCTTGGTATCTGGACAGCACTTCCCTCTGCAAGGCTTGGCAGAAGCACTGGGAGCAGGGTTTGCCTACATGGAGCCTTGTATCACTGCAGCCCAGGGTACACACCAAGGCGTGGGCAAGGCAGTCACAAGCTACAGATCATTTTCTGCAGAGGTTCGAGCTAATTAGCACTTAAAAAACTGCTGGCACATGAGGGAACATAAAAACATAAAAGAAAGGTTACACAAAGGCACCACACCTAACAGACAAATATGCTGTTGCTAACACTTGAGGCCCTAAATTCTCTAGAACCAAATGCAGACCTATTGTTGTGCTACTGGGGCAGGTAAAAAAATGCAAGAATTAGCAAAAAGATAAACAACAAGATTAGTGCAGTTCAGATACCTCTGAAGAGATAGGACACGGTGGGAAAGCATGTATATGCATATGTAATATTCTGGACAAACACAGATGCACATTAGTCAGCTCTAATGGCAGCTGCCCCAATTACGACAGTATTACACTGTATCTGGTTCAACATTCTTTAAGCACTGACTCTCGTTTATAACAGTACATCTTCTTGCCTTGCAGTACAAATAAATGCACTGTTTCTAAGATATGCCCTTCTTCAAGTAGATCATTACTGATGTCTGACTTCTTGGGCTTCCTGATAAATTATCCTCTTCTTTCACCTCAAGCAGAAAATGTTCTTCCACCAATAATCTATGACTGTCAGTCTTGATTACTTGTAAACAGTGAAGCTCTTTGAATATTTCTGCTTGTGAAAAGCGTTCATTTTCTCACTCATGTCTCCCAGTGTGAAATGCAGGCAGACCTGACAGCTGTGCTTTATGTTATTTTATTAAAGTTGTTAGTGCTGGAGAATGGTCTACGTTTTTATCACTGCAATTCTTAAGGGAAAAGCAGTATTGTTTTATCACACATTTACATTGGGGAACCTTTGCTTCTCGCCCTTTGCTGCGGAGCCCAGGATTCACACTGCAGCAGGCTATGGTGAACCCGGGTCCAGGACTGGTCGTAGCTTGAAATAACATCTGTATTTTGGTGTTTTCTACTTCTGTCGTAACATCAGCAGAAAAGCAACCTATGTTAACAGAGTACTAGCTCTGTTAAGTACTGGGGGAAAAAGGCTTTTATGCTAATTAACACTATTGTCACTCTCCATGAATATTTACTGTTGATACTTAAGAGTTTATAACTTCCAATACATTTAACTACAAGAAAATTCATAGTGGTAGAGAGTAATTACACCAAACCACCTCAACACAACAAAACCCAACTGCTCCATCAGTTACATGATACAACGCTGACAAAGCCCACAGCTGAAAAACAGAACAAGGAACTAATATTTGCCAGCAGTTGGGATCAGATATCAGGCATCACCCTGCTGGCATTGTTTGTTAATATCAATACTCCTTTGGATACTGTCATGACTTCTCGAAAGGGGCATCATTTTGTTACTGAAATCCCACATTTGGGTGAAATCTGCAAAATAATTTTTCAGCACCACATTAATGTGTGAACTGTAAGAAAGAGGAAAGTCCCACTTCCTCTTTCCATTGGCAACCCATTTCCAGATACTGGAGGCAGAAAGGGTTGCTGCACATCTCTTCCTCCAGCACCCATGGCTCCTCAGCCATTTGGTGATATTAAGGACCTCAGTGCTGATTTCCTCTTGTTCTGCCTTTGCTTAACTTAATTTCTGAATAGCTTGCTTTGCCCTTTTCTCCTTGGGCTTGTCCTGGCTCTTTTCCCTCAGTGCTTTCTTTCTCTTTTTATTTAGCTTACATCCTCCTGGTAAGACTTCATTTTCACCTCTCCCCGTAATGTAATTAACTGTGACTGTCATTGCTATCATCTGCAACTCCTGCTACACTGTACCCTTTCCCCAGCCTCTGCTGTCTTCCCAAAGGGAGCGGGAAGCCTCTGCTGGTCTGTGCTTCCTGTCTCCATCCCAAATATGTTTGGTTGGTTGTGGTTTGAATCTCAACTCAACTAGCAATCTAAAATGAAAGCATGACGGGCACAACAGTGCTTCCAGCCCAGGGCATGCCCTGCTCCCTGCCTGAGCAGCCTCAGCAGTTGGGAGCTTTCTGCATCTTTGGGCCTGCCTCCATATTTAGTTGCTGCTACAAGAGTGCTGTAATTTACTTGCTTTATTTTCCAGTAACACTGCAAAATACTGGAAAAACACTGGAAAAAAAAAATAATAAAAAAATCACATAACTAACTTTCTCATTGCTGATTTTGCTTAAGGTTCTGTTACATCAATATCTGCACGTGCATGAAACAAAGCTCTGATCTAGGGGTATTGGTTACTTGCTGCGTCACATGCCAGTTACTTAAGGAAATTCCTGCATTGGTGGCTATTATTTATTTTTAAAACTATCTCCTGGAAAAACCCTTCTACAGTTGTCTCGCCACTTCATGAAACACACTGCTGCCTCAGCTACCAATGTTATCCCTGCAAAGCATGCCTTCCATAGGAAATCTCTGTTCATCAAAGCCATATTTTAAAGAGGGTGTTTACTTCTACTTATCGAATTGTTGTCATAATGGCTGTAATTATGTTTTTTATATATATATATATATATATATATATATATATATATTTTACAGTTGTATTGTTTTGCTTTGGGGAAAGACTTGAACCTCATACTTCACATGGACACGAGTAACCGTGTGCTTTTTAGCAAATCACTGAAATGAAGAGAATCTTGTGGAAACACTGAAAGGTTAAGTAAAAACCCTGAGCACATGTGCTTTAGTGCTTTGCTAAAATACACACTACAAGGGCAATTTTCCAACTGTAAAAAACAAACAAACAAAAAAAGACAAAAAAAAAAAAAAAAAAAAGTCGAAAAGGTATCCTGAGCAATTTCCTTTTTAAAGGATAAGAGACAAAA